GGTTCATCTCTCTATTCTGTTTTATTTTAGGGCTATGTTGTTGAAATCACTACACCACCAAATATTCCATTACCATCGATGAATCTAGTCGATGATGTGAATAAATTATATATTTCAGCATTAAAACCAACTGCTAAACAAGGTCTAGTTCGAGTTAGTGGTCTAGCTGAATTTGCCGGATGGAAGGTAAGAATTTAATCGATATTAATTATCATAATCTTCATTTTTATTATTCTATTTTGTAGGATATTGGAATTCTTAGTGAACCAGATCGAGCTCAGTATTTATATGAACAAACAATTCATTGGTTACCACATTTAGGATCCTATGAAAAAGCTTTTCATAGTTGTTCTCGTCCAGTATCTGCTGATGACGTGCCATTAATTGGACGATGTGATAATTTTGATAATCTTTTTGTTAATTGTGGTCATGGTAGTAAAGGATGGACATTAGCATTTGGATCAGCAGCTTTGTTGGCTAATGTTATTAATCAAAAGGAATATGTTAAAGAATCAGAAGACATTAATCCAGAACCATATTCCCCAAATAGATTTTAATAAATATTTTCATTTACTATAGCAAAAATAATAAAATATAAATTAATTATTAGAAAAATATACAAATATAAGATAGAATAAAATTCGTCAGACTTGTATATTATTCTTTAACGTTCGCGACAAATTTTTTCTTATTTAAATTGTATTAATGAATTTATTGTTGAAAACAAAATCAAAAATTATGCGAAGACACATAAAAAAATGAAAATAATAATCAGAGTCATCTTTTGTCGGTACATTATTTTGAAATTGTATATCAAAGGTTGTTTATTTTCATCCTCTTACTACAAATCTCATTTATTATTCCAATTATTTATATTTTGGTTTTTCATTTGTAACTAAATAAAAAACTCACTTATTCATCACATATCGTAAATACTATTCACTTTACAACGATCAAATGTTGGATATGTTCATTTTGTTAAACTCTGTCTCGTTTTGAGCAGACACAATTCCTTATCAAATAATTTTTTAAGGCTACGTAAACTATAGAATATAAAATCAGAGAAAAAATATCGGTATGGAGAGTTTCACTATCAGTTTGAGCGTGTGGGTGTGAATAAGAGTGTATATGAATAGTAAATATCGACGCCCACATCCTCATTAAGATACGAAATAAGAAATGTTACAATCATTTTAGCACACCCGACAATTATCCTTATTTATTGAAAGGATACTGTATAATCTTTCGAATTTTTCTTTAGCATATTAATAAATGAGACAAAAAATTATTTTATAATCTGACAAAGTACAGATTCAAGTTCAAATTATTTAATATCAATGGTATTATTCATAATTAATATCTAAATATACATATCTAAGAATAGTATCTATTCTTTTTTTCTATATTTTTATTTTATATTTATTTCTAACATAGTTCAGACAATTAATCTTTATCCCCTCACTACTCAACTAAAAAATATTAAAAGAAAATTATATCATCATTAATATGATAAACATTCTTTTTATTTACCCTATCTTTATCCAGGAAAAAATTTAAAATAATTTTCATATAATGATTACAATTCAGACACATAAATGTACTCGATATTCATCAAGATATATGCCCCCGGTACTGTCTGCA